TCTTCGTCAGTTTGTACGTCGTCGAATTCGTGCGGTTGCTCACTCTCTGTCAACTCATCAGACTGAGGCAAAACCTCGTGCACATCTTCAAAATCAACGATGTCTGCATATTCTGAACTCAATGTGTCAGTTGTGCATGAGGGTGGTGCTATCTGTTCAGGGACGCCGTGTTTGTTAATTTTTTTTCTCCACTTAGTTGTCCGTGATAGACCGGTGTATGCACCTTTCATACTTTTCCTTTGTCCAGCCATGCCAAATATCTTATCTCGAAGATACCAAACACAAGTGCTGTAAATCCCTGTGCAATGCTTAAAATAGTCCAACTAAACTTGTGGCAATAATTTTGCGTACAGGTAAGTAGTAGGGTAGGGTAGGGTGGGTTGGAGTTGGGTGCGGGAGGAGTCACTGGGGTAGACCGACTGTCATTGGTCAGAAGTAATCTTTAATTTTCCAGCACCCACTGGTATATAACGAGGGAAGTGCGCCCTTTTTACCTGTTAACTGGACATTACTGTAGCAAGGACTTCACTAAGACAATCTAAAAGACTGCTTTTAACAAGACGCCTTTATTTTATTATTCCGCACAACGAAGAGCTTTCATCTTTGAGCATGTTACGAATAACTTAATTATCTAGTTTTAGTTATTTACTGCGACTGTTTAAAGGAACATTGTTCTTCTATAGTACTTGTAAGCGTTCATTGTGGATTTTTTAAAATTTTGTGACAGCAGACTTTAATAAAAAAAACTTTGCACCTTTCCCATTTGTTCCCATAATCGTAAAACTCTGGTACGAAATAGACAGAACACGATGCCTATTTAGAAGAAATAGGAATTGTGGCTTTGTTAGAAACGGTATGATTTACTTATCTACTATAAACCTTAGCTAAGGATCATTTTGAGCTAACCAAACTAAATCGATTCTATGACGAAATGTGTAGGGAAAATAAACCTCAAAAGATGAGAATTTGCGTAGCTAGGTTGCTTCCGTTTCAGTCACCTGAAATGTACCTGTCGTACTGTTTATGATTTCAAGGTGTCATAGTAAACTTAGCCACACATCACTCTTATCTATTAATCGAATCTTAAGTACCATTCTTTGATGTACAGTTCCCTGTCGGCGATGCTCAGGTAGATCTAATCATTGATTCACACTGTAAATCTCAGCGTCATCAACCGTGAACAGGGAGAGACTGTTGTAAACAACATATTTGACACCTAGATGCGTGTAATTATATATTTATATATAACCTCTCCTCCACCCCATTGTTGTGAGATTACGTGCGCCACCCTTTATATTCATTTGACTCGTTTTTTTATTCTTAAAATATTTTATAAATCTCGATAAATGGAATCTACACATGAACAATAAATTACAGAAATGGACCTCCTTCTTCAACCACAACTTCATCTTAAAAACAAATGCTTCCAGACAAGCAATCGTTATTTTTACTTACATACGTTTTCGAAGAAGGTTATGGTTTAATGTTGCCAATATATGATTGAGCTTAACTAAGGAGAATATACATTTATGCTTTTTTAAATATGTAGAAAATAGTTCACAACACTGATGCTTAATGAAGCTGCAGGAACAGCAAACCCCTAATTACGTGTTCGAGAATTCTCTTTCCTAGGTTTATATTAAGTTTGTTGTTTGTAAGCAAGGCACGTACTGAGTATGAAGGCCGAATGTGAGCTACACGATTTTATCAATTAGGAGCTGAGGGTCGTGACTGAAATACAGGACCTTATTGCTGTGCATTTGTATTATGACCTCTCATACAATGTCTAGCTGGTAGTCTCATAACCGAATATCATCTAGGAATTATGGTCTCACTGGTGTCATGGCTTTTCAAAACCTCCCCGGGTTTAAGCCAATGGCGACCTCGCTCAAAGTTACTCGTTGACTATGATGAATGCAACAGTGCATTTTAAATCCTTGCGACTGTGGTATAACTTTATAGCGAACTCTTTATCAAACTATATATTTAAATTAAAAAAGTTTTAACTTGATCTTAAGCTCTGTGCTGTGAATTTATTGCTTTAGTATTTTATAAATGTTTATATTACACTTTCAAATAATTACCTAGGAAAGTCTACTATAAATAAAACAAATCAGTGATATAATCTGACTGATGAATGCCCGCCCCTATTATATTATGCCACGTTTCTCATGCAGACATAAAAAGAAAGTTTATTTTACGCCCGGGTCAAAAGACAGGTTTCTTTCTTTTGCACTAAGATGAAGCTTCGTGTTGTACAATGAATCATATTTTTACCTATGTACAAGTATAGGCTATGTTCTACAACACCTACAAACTTAAGTTATAAAAATAATGCCGAAAGATTTTCCAGTAAAGAATTTAAATGAGAAAGAAATGCCTTTTTCTATCAAGTTGTGGTTACAGGGGCAGATCCAAGATCATTTGNAAGAGGAAGAATGAACAGCTTAAAAACCATGGGTGTAACCAGGCATACGCACGAATGCACTGTGCGAGCAATTTTTTGGGCCAACCATGATAATATTCTCTATAAATTCAGTGTTTTTTTCAAGAAATAGACCTACATGGTACGTTTACGTCATCTGAATGTACAAATCCTCTGTATAATTTAGGCCTATATATGCACCAATGTTCTGACCCCCCTTCTCGTTTGCTTTCACACAACTGAGGTAAACAATACTAGTTCCTTTCAACAGTCCTATTTTAATCGTCAATCTAGCTGAACTTCCTTTACTTCTTTATTAGAAGGTTAAGAGCCCTTCGGCTCTCTGGTAGCTTTTGTCTTGAAAGTATCGAACGTGCTCTCGCTGAATTGAATTGATATATCTCAGGTAAAAATCTATCTGTGCGTTATTTTCAAAGAGCAGTTCCAGCAGACCTGGGGGCATTAGATAAAATCTGAAGATCGGGCTATACAACGAGCCAGAGAAACAAATGACAATAGATTTTTCCTGCGAAGCGTCAAAGAATTTTACATGGGCTTGTTCCAGCTTAGCCCTCCAAAGTAATAGGGTGGCCAGTGAGGCATTTTTTTCAATTAAAAGCAAATAATTAAACTTTGTCTTAGCTTGTCGGAGCGGCAGTGGAAATTGTAAAAAAAAATCTTAAAGTAATTTGACATGTCCAGCTTTTATGATGCGTCACAGTTGAATGGTACTACTTTAATATTTAGTGCACGCTGTTATTCCGTCACGACGAAACTACTTATTTGTAACCCTCCCTCCCCATTGAATTTTTTTATTTTTTTTTAATATATTTTTTTTCATTTTATCCACTCNTGACGGGGTGATTTATTGACGGCTGATACAAAGTAAATTGCAATCAAGCGTCTTGTTCCTCCAACGACTCGAACGGATTCTTTCTTTGTTGAGCCGGAACTGAACCCGTCTTTGAACGTTTGCATCAGTGTCTAGTTGAACAAGCGCGTGCTGCGGTCTCGACCGCTATAATAATAAAGTAATAAAAATATAAACACGTTCTTCCCGGCTCTCGCTAGTTCGCATTGTCTGCGCATTCCACAACGTTTGGGTTCGATACGTGCTCCTGTTATTTGTTTGCTTACTCGGACAGAGGAGAAAATGTGACCATTTTAACGCTTCATAAACATTAACATACCGCGCAACCGGCGATACGCGATACGACCGTCCCCTCAATCGCCAGATTTTTGTCCGAGAGGGCGAGGAAACACTGCAGCCCAAAAAGGGGGAGGGGGAATGGAATCACTTACAATATTCGATTAATGAGAAATTATGTCCCTGATATAATTCTGTGGCAGCCTATAAATGTCCTTGTATAACCCACGTGGAGATGTATGGTATCTTATATTCTTCAATAAACAGTATATTTGACACGTGTGTTGAGAAGATCGTAATAGTTTTTGTTAAGATTTCACAGGGTTTGGCTAGGGTATGGTACGTCTATAACGGTTTTCAAAAGTGTAGTGTAAGGTAGGTAATTTTGAGTGCATTGGATTTTTTGGAAAAATCTAAAAATCGATAATGTTATAACGATAATATATTATTACGGTGCAACTGCATTACATGTGTCTACAACTTCACAATTTTACTTATGTATATAAATAATTCCCACCAACATATACTTATGATTATTTTTTTTTTTTTTTTTAAAATTTTTTTTTTTCTTTTTTCCCCCCCCCCCCCCCCCCCCATTTTTGACAGCCTGTACCCCAATCCTAGAAAAAGCGTTAGTTCGGGCTGAAATAATGTAATGGAAATTAATTAAATTTCCGGAATGTATTTTACTTTAACAGATGGTTTTATTACTGATGAAAACTGAGCTATGATATTTGGCACTTTTAATTTTATCTGTGCATTAAGCCGTAGCTGGGAATTTTGAAAATCTGTGCGTACAATTTTAAAAGGTCCCCTCAAGCTCGCCTACTAAGTGTAAATCCAAGTGTCAGGTGAGCTGTCAAGATGGTCAAGTCTCTATTTCTGGCATTTACCTGTAAAAGTACTGGTGTGACAGGTAGCCTATATAACACCTCCCTTATCTCGATTCCCAATTATGGCCCTCTTGTATATCTTTGTGCGACAATTTTCAATTAAGACGTGTTTATTTTGACTTTGATGCATGATTTTTAAAGATAAAATTCCCTGCATAAAGTACGATCACATTGTGCAAATTATTTCCAAGATTTTGTACCTCACTCCCTGTCTTACATCAAATATTTCGGGCATTTACCTGTTATAGTAGGCCTACTAGTGTGACAGGTAAATAACTTAATTCACGTCTTCTTATTAAATTCCCGTAAGGACAATTAAGTCGCATTGATCGCCAGATAAGATGGCCTTTATTGCGTAACAATAAAGAAGCTAAGAGGCGTCATGTGATTAGATCGAGACGCAGTTGCCACATGATTGGTTGTCTCCATATAAAAACGAGGCGCACATGAATTTAATCTGGTTGTTATTTCGAAGACCAACGGCGAGTTTAGATAGTAGATACGGTCGGAGTAAAGTTGAAAAAGTTATACCAACATGGTGACACACGCTATAGTGGCAGGGGTAATCCTAGAGAGGGGTAAGAAACGTCCATTGTTCTCGTCAGTGAGGCTAACCAAATTCAGGGTATGTACGCACAGACAGAAAACCATGTATTGTGGGAACGTTACTAATGAAGCCACTGGTAGTACTAGTAGATATCAGTCTGTAGTCTTGAACAAGCACCTCCTTGACGAGTGAACAGTTGTCAAAAACAAAAGACCCAGGTGTGGTAGATCGACTACTGTTCGTGCGTGCCGCAAAGACCAAGCCTAATAGCCCCTCAAGGTCACAAACTAATATCCGGTGCTGACGGTTAGGCTCGTCATAATCATATAAGTAGCGCGTTTCCACCCCCTGATAGTGGAGTGGCAGGAGGACAATTCGCCAATAGATATTATCACCCTACTGTCCATCGTAAGGCCAAGAATAGAATTGGAGAAGTATAAAATTGGCCAGATAATTCATGCTAAGTGCCGAGGCTTTCCAGGAGACTATCCCGCTAGGATATTGCATATAGGAGGTAAGTTTTTCGTTATCTTATTAATTTTCCTGCTGAGATGGACAACATGCTTCCTACACTAAGGTTTGTAAAATGTTAAGACCCACACTTTGGTGGCATGTCTAAAAAAAATGTTTCTTGAAACCCATTATAGTCGTCCGCCATCTTGGAAACCCGACGTGATAACACGGAACGGTTTTACCAACAAAATAGGGCGATTAACAATTGTATATAAATTACTTTATAATCAATATCATTGATACGACTTAACAAATCGACACAACATGTTTATTGTCTGTTCAGCCTCCATGCTGGCTAGTGTATTTTCTAGGGAATGGCCGTTCTCTTTGTTCATTTGCATCTGCATTCATTTTTTCAAGATTATTGACTGGTGTTGCGCTGTAGCCTTTTGCGCAATATTAAGCGGCACCGGATTGGAGAATAAAAGCTTGAAATAACATATATGACTTAACAACAGTTGGATTTATTAGATGTCACCTACATGTTTATAAGACTAGACGGTTGGAAAATGTGATAATGTAAGATGTTTGTTGGTTTGGCTAAGGTAAAATGGAGGTCTGTATTTGGAATACTGAAATTTCTTCACTTTTTTTTCAGCGAATGATGCAGATATGAGGAAGATTTTGAGAAATTTGACTTCTGGGCAGAAAGAAAATAAAGGTGAGAAATGCTTCCAGAAAGATCTTTTTTCTCTCATAGATACATATTGTGTCATTTATTTGTAGGATTACATTTGTTAACCATACAGTACTTAGATATTTTTATGACAGTTAAGGCCATGTCAGATGACACTCAAAAATGTATTTGTCCTCACTTATTTTTTCTGGCCACAGGAGGATCAGGTCACATGTTGAACTGTGTTGATTGTATGCACCTAAGCAATTAATATGTAGCAATCCATTAGTTCAGAGAATTGTGCCAGACTAAAATGAAATTCAAAAATGATAATTACAATTAATTAATCACCCTGCCATTTATTTATAAATCAGTTCGTTTTTTAGGTACTTATAAGTACAGTGTTAACCTCAACTTTCAGAGCCACCAACAAGACCAAATAAAAAGACACCAGGTAATGTTTCGAAATGTCGTTTTATGTATAATTTTGAACTATTTTATTGGATGTAAAATATTATTTTTCATGTGAAGAAATGTAGTGGGAATAAATTCCAAAACCACCATATATACACGATGATGAATAGAAATTATACATACTCCCAAAGAAAATGCATAGGGGTATTTCTTTTTAGAAATGCTTCATGAACACCTTAACTGTTCTTTTACAGAAGTGTAAAATCTATCTCTGTGTTTATTATAGTACCTGCATCAGAGAAAAAGGAAGCAAAAAAAAAGGAAGATTGATGAAAGGAAAGAACTAGCAGAGAAAAGAAGAGAAGCCAGGAGGAGAAAATTTGAAAGTCTGGAAGCCCAATTCGATTTGGAGTTTCAGAGGTATTAGGAGTTGAACTTTATAAAAATAGAACAAAGTGTATCATAGAATTAATATTGAGAAAACCCATTTACTAATGAAAATGAATGCAGGTAGAGAAACTGCCTTCGTGAGAAATATAATTGTCAGGACAAACAGATAAACACATTTGCATTAATTAGATAATAATAGATAAAAAGTTGCCTTTAATTTTAGAATAACAAGGAATGATGAGGAGAGTGATCAAGACAAAGCTAATAGAGAGAGTGAAACAACAGGAAATAGAAAGAAAACAGGTAATTTTATCAAAAATGAAATTCTCAAAATTCATTAAGTTTATTAAATTGCATGTTTATTTCACATGTGCTGGACAGATGGTCAAGGGTTTGTGAGAAGAAATAAAACCCCAAAAATTCATAATGTTTCAAATGTAATTGGGTTTGCAAAGGATTAGAAGTGTACATAGAAGAGATGCAGAGAATTTTTCTTAATCATTGCTCCTTTAACATGTATGTGTTTATTCTCAGAGCCTATATCATCAGAAACAAGGAATGCAGGAAATGCTGGGCAAGAATCTGAAGGGGATGTGGAGTGAGTTTTCACCTTTAAATTGTATTGTCATGAGCTTGTAAGAAAGTTTTGGGGTTGAATTGTGTAAGATAAAGTGTTAACACGCCTGATATTTTAAAGTTACAATTTACATGCTCACAAACATTACCTAAATCCTGAGGTGTATGAGAGTCATCCTATCTTCGTATTTTTGCTGGTATACTTGAAAATAACTAATTCTTAATACTTTTCTACATTTTTAGATATGATTTGGTGCTGGGAGATTTTTCTGATGAAGAAGAGACTTTGTAAGTAACTTTATATGTAGTAGTAGACAATTTAAAATATTATTTATTTTATTGTTATGATTGAGATTTGTCTTGATTACATTTGCAGTCTTGTATCTCAATTCGGTCCTTCCATTTTTGCCATTAAAATTTGAGTAAAGGATCACTTCAAAGAGTCGTCCCTTTTTTCTCATATAGGTATAGGTCTTTGGACGGAGCGGGGACTGTGTAAGTTACTGTTAGAATACGTGATGTTATGTATAAATGATCAGTTATTTTACTGTTTTATTTTTGCTGATCAAGATTTTGATAAGTTACTAAAAAGTTGTAAATATCTTGATTTAATTTTGGATAAACAACAGCATAAAAATAGAAGCATGTAATTGCTGTAATCCAGGTGTGTTATTTGTATGTCAGTAGTTTGGTATCAAGACTGATTGGATGTGTATTTCCTATTGTGTCAATAGCTACTTTGCTGGTATATTTATAATGTCATTTTATTACTTGCAGAGCTTGTAATGCTAAGGGCTACCCCAAGATTGCCCAGAAACAACCAAGGCAACAGTTCAGGTAACAAATTCATATATTGTTTTTTACAATAATAACTAGTTAATTGAGTCTCATACAGATAACTGTGCTATGAATTTTTAAAGGTAAAGAATATATGGTAAATTTTTCCATCCCTATTTCAATTTTTTTTCAGAAGACATTTCCCTTTGTCATCATCTGACAAACATGCCAACATAGACCCAAAATACGATTGCTATTGACACAATATTGTAGAGATTTCAGTTATTAATAAAATTTGTCATGATTTTCAGAGATGAGGAGAGAAGTGAAGTGAACAAAGAGACTCAAAGGTGAGATGTGATTTCTAAAATGATTATAAGGCTACTAAAGATTAAAACCAACAACAACAAAAAGGGAACATCTCTTCAATTATATGTAAGGGCATTAAATGTGCCACCAACAAAATAGCAAAAATGTAATTGTGTTGGATTTTTATAGTGAGCCATTGGTGTAATATGGATGAATAACCATTGTTATGATTTGTACTTCCAGAAGTACTGATTGTGATAATTGTAGGCGTTTGAAGTGTGGTGAGTTTAACTTCGATGCTTCAATAACTTCAAGCCATTTGAGTAAACTATTAACTAAAACACCTCAAACACAAATGCATTAAATATTAAATAAAACGCACTCAATAATTGTTTTATGAGCAATAGCTTGGACCATCGTCTAAGTGTACCTAAGGCATTTTGAAATGGAAGTAGCCGATGTCAACATATATTTTTTTCTGATAGTAATTTGTGGAGTGGCAAACATATTGAACCTAATATTTTAGTATCAATCCTTTAAAGCATATTATCAAAGTTTGGGGTGGTGCGAGCCATAAACCCGACTGTTGAAATTTTAATTATGTTTCTTGTATTTCCAGAGGTGGAAAAACTGCAGGAAAAAATAAAGCAATTGGAGCATATTAAATTCATAGGTAGGTTTTTTTACAGATATTTTTTTAATTTTTTTATTTTTGTATTCGTCATTTATTTATTTATTTATTTATTTATTTATCTTAATATTACAACTTTTACTTAAATAGATGTTCCAGGAAACAGCATATTTAAAACTAGTGTCATACTGTCATGTCAATCTAGTTTAAAAAGCACTGCACTGATCTAACTGCAAGCCAGGGTTTTATTTCAAACCTTATTTTCTGCCCATGATGCTTGTTAAATAGTGCCAAACTTGCTTAATGAACCTTATGTAAATTATGCGGTGTACATACCAGAAAATTGAGGTTAGTAGAACAGCTTTTATAACAAGCTTTAATAACTAAACTTATAAAACAGAAATCTGGTCATATGGAATGGAGTACCAGTTTAAATACTAAACAAGGAATATATATTTTGTGTTTGTTTGCAGAGGATGATTACGAAATTCCCAGGCCAGGTCTCTTACCAAAGGAAATTGGAGAAAAATACAAGGTATGTGTTTTAATAATTATACTAACTTGTTTGTAGTATGTCCATTGTCATGTGTCATTGTTAATTTTATTTTAGCCCATGTATTCTTTGGTGCTTGTGTTTCTCTTTGATGATAAGTAAAATGTCAAGTGTTATCCAACATTCCTGTGTATTTGTTTAATTAAATTTATCATACTCATCTTGTGCCTTTCTGCTTAATTTGTAGATGTGTTTTGTATGTACAATTAGTTTAAATCATTTTTATGATTATGTCTTTTCACTAGATGGTTGAGCTGGTCCCAGGCAGTTCGGTATATATTCCTCGCCCGGACCTTGTTTCTTGTTTCAAACCTGGGAAGGTGAAGAAAGGTAGTGTGCAACATGGTTTGAGGACGGCTAGGCTGCTGATGTCAGTTTTCTTCAGCAGAGAAGAACTGGCTAACTGCACTCTAACTAGCTCTACTGAGGGGAAAAAGCAGCTGAATCCCAGGATAATTAAAGCTATAATAGGTAAATAACTTGTGACCTACTTTTATAGTCTGAGTGCATGTACACCCTTAAATTAATGGAAACATGTTGGTTAAGAATCTTTTTTTTTTTTTTTTTTTTTTTTGATTAGCAAGTGATGCAAGTGAAAGGTATAGTATTAACGACATATATTTTTCTTAATCTGTTTGATTTATTGTATGTTTCAGACACCTGTTCGCAAAGCAGTCCAGCCACCCCAGGCAAACTGCGGCAGGCCATAGCCTGCAAAATTACAGCATTTTCCTGCAAAGCAAGAAAAACAAAAAGGTGTGTATATATGTACTCACTTTTTATAAAACAACTTAATGAAAGGCAGTGTTGTAAAAGGTGGCTTTAAATATATAGGCTGCTATTATAGAACAAAAAAACAATCAAACGTACTGGAATTGTGATTCCAATTGTTTTTATTTTATTTGTAGCAGCCCATGTGAAGACACAGAAGACAATGAATGGATGGGATATCTGCCATGAGAGAACAATAGGTGTGTGTTTTGAGCTGTTGTCTAACCTTTATTCACAAAAAAAATTATTTTTCAACACTTAATGCAAGTCATAGTGGTAAAAGCTGTTATTTATTATCTTGATTGCTATTTCAGTTAAAGAATTCCCAGAAAAAAAAACAATCAACTTATCAGAACTTTTTTTTTACTTTTAGGACCAGATCAGATCACACTTATAAGGAGAAGGTTGATGTACCAAGAAAAATCATATTTACAATCTATCTTTTTAAAGTGAAATTTTGTATAAAACAGTATTTAATAAACGATAAGAAACTTCAATCTGTCTTTTTTTATGAGCAGTACACGAGCATTTTTTTCATGTACTCCAAATCTACCTCCGCGAAGCAGTACGCGAGCATGTTTTTTTTTTTTCATATACTCCAAATCTACTACTGCGAAGCAGAAGGCGAGTATTGCTCTCTTTCTCATATACTCCAAATTTACCTCCAGTACGCGAGCATTGTTTATTTCTCATATACTCCAAATCTACCACCGCGAAGCATAACGCGAGCATTGCTATCTTTCTCATATATACTCCAAATCTACTTCCGCGGAGCAGTACGCGATAATTATTTCTCATATACTCCAAATCTACCACCGCGAAGCATAACGCGAGCATTGATATCTTTCTCATATACCCCAAAACTACTTCCGCGCAGCAGCACGCGAGCATTGCTTTTTTTTCATATACTCCAAATCTACCTCCACGGAGCATAACGCGAGCATTATTAATCATATACTCCAAATCTACCACCGCGAAGCATAACGCGAGCATTGCTTTCTTTGTCATATACTCCAAAACTACTTCCGCGGAGCAGTACTCGAGCATACCTTCTTTTCATATACTACAGATCTACCTCCGAGCAGCAGCACGCGAGCATTGTTTATTTCTCATATACTCCAAATCTACCAACGCGAAGCATAACACGAGCATTGATTTTTCTCCTATACTCCAAAACTACCTCTGCGGAGCAGTACTCGAGCATAATTTTTTCTCATATACTGAAAATCTACCTCCGCGAGCGTTGCTTTTTTCTCATATATATTTTAATATTTTTGCCGTGAGAATTATAATGTAAGAAGTAATTAAGACAGCGAACGATGTAAAATTATAACACATTCAAATAAAATATTTTAATATGCTCCAAATCTACCTCCACGGAGCAGTACGCGAGCATTGGTTTTTTTCTCGTGTACTCCAAATCTACCTCCGCAGAGCAGTGTGCGAGCATCATGCTTTTTGCTTTATACCTCAAATCTACCTCTGTTGAGTATCTTTGAAGTATCCGATGCGCATAATGCAGTGCAGCATAAACGTAATGCTTTATCTCTACTGCATCGGAGTAGATTTGGTAGCTAATTAGCATATTTGAAACACGCTTCAATCATGCTGCGAATCTACTGCATTAATGCTCCTCCGCTGTACAACCCTATGTAATTTTTGAAGTAGAATTGCAGTAGGCTCTACTGCATTTCTACTGCAAATATGCTCCACACCACTACTGCGTTAATGCTTCTTTGCTACTTCGATACTACTGCATTTTTGTGCGGGAAAGCAGATTGTTTCTTTTGTGATAGATAGATAGATACTAGCAGCTGAATCACTAAATGACTCCACTTCCTTTCAATTTCCAAACATTTGCTGCAGTCAATCATACTTATCATATCTAATATAATTAATTGTATTTTGGTGATGAAAATTATAATTTATGTCGCGTGTTTCTTACATTTGACAGGCGATTCTTTACCTGTCGGGTTTCTTTATTGCCTAACTTTTATTAGGATAATAAAAGTAATTGTCATACGGGCTAACAAATGAAGAAATGCGTTATACACCTTATTATTTCTAATGTTGGGATTTATGGATTCTTCCAAGAAGCCAATTTTTGGGTATAAGAAATAACCTTGCCATTCGTCCATCACGATTAAAATGTTCGCTGTTGCTTGGTAAAAAAATGCCTTATCAATTAAAATTGTTCTTCAAAGGGCAATTAATTTGGTCATTAGACAAAATATGAAAATTCATAGGATAAATACAGGATTGCCAAACGCTGCTCTTTGGTACATTGAAACTGGGCTGACTGTTCAGTCGACTAAGTAGGAACGTCCCTTTTACATAGTTGTGCATATAAAAGGCCTTCAAGTCGCGCCTCTTTATTGTTCAAAAGTTTGACATTCAAAGCTGAATATGTACATATGGAGAATATTGGTGGAAGATTACCAGCGTTTCAATTTGCGCCATATCTGTTGGATCATTCGAATTTGGGTGTCCCATACTTACATGTCACACCAAACAAATTATTACACTGCCAGTTTAGCTAGCCTTTTTTATTTGTTAACTAATTTAAAATTAACTGATTTAAAATGTTGCAACTGATATTCTTCTCTCGGACCAACTACCAATATCTACCGGTTTTGTCTTAATCACTACATAACAACAACGCACCCAAATGCGAAAAGGCAAACACAAAGCGACTGAATACAAGTTTTAAAACTCAAAAGGTAAAATGTAATCTAATATCAACTTATAGGGAAAAAGAAACTGATTTAAAACGTCGAAACTGATATTCTTCTTCCGGACAAACTACCACTACTTAATACACCACTCATATCTAAATCACAACGCAACACAACAACATTGTACCTAAATGCGAAAAGACAAAAACAAAGCGAGTCCATAAACGTTTAAAAATTCAAAAAGGTGAAATGCATTCTAAAAGCCCAGCCCTGAATTACATGGGTACGTCTTTACCAACGAGTCCCAAAAAAGACATCAGAGGGACTGCGCTCTTGACCAACCCAGTAGCCCACGAAACCGTCTATGAACTCGCTGGTATCAATCACACCATCTTCATTCCAATCAATGGCATCAAATATATCTTGCACTTTAGCAGTGTTGCGGAAAATAGTAAGGAAGTTGGAATACTCGTCTACCCTCAATTTACTATCGCAGTCAAGATCAATTGCGCCAAGCCAATCTTTTGCGCTTTTGATGTTCTCTTCTCTTGTAATATCAATTTCTTGTAATATCGAGTCAGCTCGAATCAATCCTTGAGATGTGATGGATTTTGAAAAGTTGGTGTATTCATTTGACCACCACAGGTAAAAAGCACTGTACAATATACCATTCACCGCCATGGCCCTCCAAGATGGGAGGACTTGTTCAGCTCGATCGGTTGTTGAATCGATGAATTCCTCCTCAGTTACCATGTCGTTTTCATCAATGTCCAGGATATCAAAGAATTTTTTGTACTTGAAAATCCAGTGCGCACTAAAGTTTCCTTTGGAGTTCTGAAATTGACAAAATATTATTAAAACAATCATGACGTGAACAAAACATTGCCTATTGTTTACTGTAATTTTGTTTGTTTCTATGGCTTTCCCCTGCCACATAATCACTGTGCCAAATACAACCATTGACTAAGTGATTTGCGCGGTTTCTCGTCGTTTACGCTTGTCACATTATCCGCTTATGTTAACCATCCGCTATTATCCTCTTACATGATAGGTTATATTTACAGTACTACACTGAAGTACCATTTCTAATTTTATATGCGTTACAAAATGTACTGTGTGTTTCTTATAACATATTTAATCCCTACCCTTTAGCTGCAGCATTTCCCTTTACTGTTTACATTAGCAGTACATGATTCTTGTAGACAGCCGATTTTAAGTACTCTAACTTCTTAAATTATTGAAAAGACAATCTGGACCTACCTTTACCATTTTCGAACAGCAGATAGTTTGAACGACCATAAGAAAGAGGAGAACTTTCAAATTGTTTGGGGACATTCTTATTTCTAAAACAAAAGTAATAACCAACTGAAACTACGTTCAACAATATTTATCGAGTGTAAAATGTAAGTTTATACAACATATCCTTGCTTTACTTTGCAAATAAAGGGACCTAGATATGCAATGTACAATCTACATTAAAGCAGTGCTTGCATATTGGTAGGTCTACCAGTGACTACGTTTACAGCAAACAAACAGAGCAATATCACACGGCATCATCAACACGTCAGAGCTCTGTTCATTATCAGTCCCCTATTCGACATGTTACAACCCCCTTGAACCCCCTTCATTTTTAAAAACAAACATTTGTCCGCTGGATGTAAACATCAAACTACATTTCATACGGGCTATGAGACAAAATATGGTGATGTCAAACATTAGAAAATTGTTCAATAATTGTGCTGGAAATTGGAGAGAGATACTTTTAATAACAAAAGCCTATAATGAATGTTGGTATTTTAATGTATTTCGATATACAGAGAGATTACAATGTAGCATTATGTTGCAATCAAAATTATATGATAAATTGTTTGTGATTCAAACCAATTTAATATAAGCTTTTATGCAGCCTTTTAGGATCAGGGATTTTAGTGATCACTTCAATTTAAAATATTTTTTATCCAGGTTGCCCAGAACAAAAACAAAGATTTTACTCCGTATTGGCTTAAGAAATTAAAAAAATAAAATTTTGACATCTTTGACGTCAATAAAGAAGGCAATGTAACGAGGGAAGAGTGCATTGATTTGTCGACAGAGCGAGCTGCATTGCCATCTTGGAGAGCCAAGGCAGTCTATGGTGTAATGACCACGTGGCCTATAAGATCTGGTGAATAAACCGACTGTAATACGTCTATTGTATTTGAGGGTTGGATTCCCTCTGTTGAAAATGTTTCCGGTTTTCCATATTGTTGACCTCGACTGCAGCGAGGAGTTAACGCTAAGTGAGTAATCTAAAGTCCTTGATATATTTCGCACCAAGGCCGTTTTCGATGCCATTGACAGCGATGGTGATAGCGTGGTTGATGCTAAGGAGTTCACCTTCATGGTAAATCATTTTCCCACGACCAAGCAGCCAACTCCGCTGCATATATTTACGGCTCTCGAGATTGAAAAGGAGTTGACGAAAAAGCAAGTCAATAGATATCCATTTAATTTTGGTTTAGGGATCACTTTTCTGATATTTTACACTGTATTCATAAAAAAAACAACCCTTTTATAGTCTTGGAAGTGTATCATTTTTTAGCTGTTTACATTAGCAGTAAAGTACTGCTTTAAAAACGCAAAAATTAAGGTGTACAATAGGCAATGTTTTGCAGTTGTGTGGCGTCCACTTTATGTTTGTTTTATAGATTTTTTTATTTTAGAACCCCAAAGGAAACTTTAGTGCGCACTGGATTTTCAAGTACTAACAATTCTTTGATATCTTGGACGTTGATGAAAATGTCATGGTGACTGAA